ACATAGATATTATTTAAGCGATATTGAGTCACTTGTCACTCAAATCAACCTCCATTAATAGTAACTTTAGGTCTTTTATAACATTGTTCCCTTCTCCTGAATTATTTTAATTAATTTAAAACACATCAACTTAAAATTTTCTTTAAACTTTTGCTCAAGATGTTAATAAAACCAATTGATTAATAATGAATTCTAACAATAAACACATAATGGTCAATAATAATTAATCTTGGTGTACTGCTACCCATTCAATGACGTTAACTAGATTAGGTTGATAGGTGCCTTAGGGTTTTCTAACCATGTAACCGTGCTTCAAATTAAGCTGTTTAGCACATGTTAATAACCTATTTACATCTCATGGCTGTCGAAGCCAAAACATTAATTAACAGCTATTTTTAAAAATTCACGAATCATGTTTTCTTATTCAGAATAATATTTCCATCAACGTTATAATATCTTGAATTAATTAATCTTTAGGTAAATTCATTTTTCCACATATATAGTTATATGTGTCGAGTTGCAGTTGTGATGCGATAACGTGAATCCACAAAGTGGGACCAGACATGCATTGACTGAGTGGCTCTTAACTAGATTTTGTCCGATTAATTGTAAAATTATATATATATATATATATATTATCATCTAATACTTTTTTATAAAATAAAAGATTAATCAATTTAACTTTTAAAGTATCTTATATTATTTTTATTATTATGCATATTAAATTTTATTTAATTTAGATATTTGTAATTATATTATCTAAAATATGGTTTTTATATTTAAAAAATATATTATAACATAAAAATAAAATAATATAATAAATAATTTATTAATTTTTTTGATATATGTATATATTGTAGATGGTAGGATGTCTTCTTCAATGAAATACATAAGTAGCAAGGCACGTGGTCTGAGAAAGGCAGCAATGCATGGTTAATACCTATCTGGTCCACTTGCAATTTAGGTCCACGATGCCCTTGTGGACAGGACACAAGTGGTACATTTGAGTCCATCGTTTTACGTCAATCTAATACTCATTTCAACTTCATCTATCCCTGTTTCATGGCTTATCCATAATTAATTAGTTAGCCTTTATTCGATCAACACTACTCGAGATAATCAATTGAGGGTTTATTATATATAACTCAATAATTACGGTTAAAATTATCGTTTGCTTTTCACAACTATTAATGCCTTTCATAATGGAGCAATAAATAAATATTTACATCTAATGATGAAGGTCACAGGAAAATAAATCAATCTCTCAATGACTTTTCGCGGATGCTTGACACACAAGTTAAATAGAAATATATCATAAACAATAAAAATAATAATATAGGGAAGAAGATATATCATAACTTCCCTAGTGAGTTTTAACTAGTGTTCTTAAATAAATAAATAAGGTTCTATATTTTCAGACTATTTAATATATCTAAATGGTTATTTAATTGTTTGATTTTGTGACTTGTTTTTTTAATCAAAACCTAATTTTCTGATTTTACATGTACCCATCAAAATTTACCACGGAATTCGAGTCGTTATCAAAATTTTTCAAGCTGTCTGTTTGTTATTCTTTCCAATTCTATTGGCATGTAATTTGGCGACAATAGCTTTAACATTTGTCGTGTAAAAAGCTGATGAATCTCACGTGGGCACCTAGCATTTTGTCCTAAAAAATTTTGGACTCCTAGATGAGCACTGATTTGAAATTTCAAGTTTATATCCTAAAATAAAAATAAAACAAAACTATAAATGATAATGAATGAAATTTTCACTGATCAAAAAGAGGCCATGCAATAAGCAATATTATGACCACAAATCGATCGTGTTGGCTGCCTCATCAGGTACCTAGTTATTACCATCAATTCATTGGGATAGTAATAAGATGCTTTAATTCTTGCAATTTTTTAATCATTAATTGCGCTGAGTCAAACGAAGTGGATTACATAATGACAAATTAAAGTAAAAAGTAGAATATACATCCAAGGTTAATTGAATTTTGAGTTGAATTATCATGTTTGTTTGCTTTTGCAGTTATATCACAATAAATTAATCATTGATTTTATGCGATCCAAAATTGACCTAATTTCTATACGCGGCTAGCGTTGTTTGTCGTTATTCATGATGTGCCCTTGCATGTGGTAGATAATATAACGGAAGCTGCTCGACTATTCAACACTTAACTAAGCACAGCAACTCCATTTTTTTTACGCTCTCCCTCTTCGAATTTAAGTAAAAGACTTTCGATTTTCTCATACTCAGTTCACACCCTTTTTTTTCTTCTTTTACGGTACACATCTCATCATAGACGCTGCCATACATACCAACCAAGGTTTTTCCACATCGCCAACCAATATATTTTGTTCCTTGAGAAAGGAAAAAAAATGGTAAAAGCAAAGAAAGAGAAAATAATAAATGTAATGAATGATATAATAAAAGAGAAAGAGAAAGGTATATATTAATAATGGAGTTTGAAAAAAATAAAGTTACTGTATATATAAATTTTTAACTCGATATAAATGACATAAAGATTTCTCAAACACTTGTTACTCTATTTACCTTGAAAGATGTTTTATTTAATTCAATGTAAACTGAGAAAGATGTTACTCTAATTTTTCACTGTGAAACTGAAAAGGCAAAAAGGAAAAGTTTGGATATATTCAGGGGAGAAGGGTGAGGTTTCAAGATTCACTGTCATCTTCAATACAAAGATCGTTAGCGTATGGTTACCCCCATTTGTTTTCGATTATATATATGGGTGTTTATCATAAACTCAAAGTGTCACTTTAAATTTCTCGAGCAGCTTTCGGGTCAATGCCATGTTGTATACCAATTGAACTGAAGCCTGTTCACAAATGCAAAGAAAACGAAATTGCTTCTTGTGGTCCTGAGGCAGAAGAAGATGTCAGGCAAGAGCATATGTTACTACAAGTTCTTCATGCGTATATAATATCCATTTTTCTGAAAACCTTGAAATATTAAGCTTTTCGATATTTATAATTACTGTAATGATATTTATTCAAACTCAATATTATCCCCACCCATGACTATCTTTTTTTAATTATAAAACATAATTAATGGAGTTTAACGTTCAGAGTAATTTCACCCAACTATGCTTAATTAGAAGTTAAAAAAATTAACTTAATTAGAATTATAATTATATGCTCTAATATTTCTTGTTGCATAATTCAAACGTTAAATTTATTATCCTAAATCAATTTAATTTTGAAAAAATTAGAATAAAAATAAAATTCTTACAATTCTGATAAATTTCATGAGTAAAATGAACCCTAACAGAAATTAAAATCTTAGAAGTAAACATTGTAAGTTTATACTAACTTTATGATACACATTTTCTCATTACAATTAAAAAACAAATATATAATTACATATTAACGGACAAATTAATTTAACAAATTAATTTTGTTTAGAAATAAAGCATGTATCAATGAAAATAAGCCTAATGACTAACACTTTTTTAAGTGAATTTTTTTTAGTGTGCAAGCTCTATGTAAGTAAACAAGTGTCATTAAGTTATTGGTCATAGTTAGCCAAACAAAACAATGGAGATTTTATTTAAATTAATTATTGACAACTAATTTTATTGAAGTGATCAATACGTGAATCACATCTACATATGTTGATTATAAATTTTGAAGAAACCATAATTGCCTCGTATCACTTTTGTTTTTACACCCAACTTTATGTCAATTGAAAGAGTCACTCTTTGCCCCTTCTCTCCATCTTTGTTAAGAGATTTAACATTAAACTTATACATGGCGTAAAGAGAATGTAAAAAAATGAGGTTCATTAATCAATAACATTTTTAAAAAAAATGTTTATTAATTCATAATAACTCTGGAACTCTCCTTAAGTAACATTTTAATATCTTAATATATATTGATTATCAAGTAATTTTTATGTAGATAAATTTGAGCATTGAAAGTTTACATAACTTTCACTCTTGCACAATTTTATTTCCTCCCCTTTCACTATTTCACATCTTTTTCAATGACTGACAACTTTAAAAGCTTAAAAATATAGAAAAAGAGTTGTTGGGTATATCTAAAAGATATATATGCAATCAATTCTATCTTAACAGGCATAGTTGCGTGGGTCTTTACATATAGTTAATCAATGCCCTAGCAAGCTAATAGTCGTCAAGATGTTTGGAACATGTCAATGTTAAATGTTAGAAAACGTTAGGTTCTTAAGTTGTAGTTGATGTTAAACTCCGCTATGAGAATTTAAAGCGTGTTCAGTTTTCTATAAAATCTATATAAATTTAGATTTATTTGAACGATACAAATTATAATTTTTATATAGAAACATAATTTAACCTAATTTTCTTAGGTTTCAAACATGTACTAATTCACAAATCGCAGACTCGGTTGCCATTAGGCTAAGGGGAATTAATGGCAAAGGCCAATTGAGGAATCCCAAAGTTTCCCAGCAAAGGTGGAGAACAAAAGGCAAAGGCCAAAGGCAAAACGAAATGATTACTTGAATGAGAGGGGACCCACCTGATAATCTTTCCTTTCCAGGTCTTCCAATTTTTTGACTTGGGATTGGGACCCACCACGGCCACCATTGTCTTTATGGATTGAATGATAAAAAAGAGCACCTCACGTGGAGTCTGAACCAAAGAAGCTGTCCAACCACAATAAAAGGGGAACTCCCTCGCATCAATCACAAAAACGAAACAAATTAAAAACTTAAAATCTAAGATTTTTCCACGTTCAGCTTCCACCTCTCCCATTTCAAATTCAATACAACACAAACCTACCTCCCCATACAACTGGACATACGGATTAAAAATCAAAAGAAAACCAATTCATACACACGTAATTTAAAAGCCAAAACACACAACAAAGCAAATTTCTTTTCTATGAAAAATCATGCTTTTTAAAGCTCACCCATATAATTCCCACTCATTATCTTTGTTGCTTAAAGCTCATGCCCTCTCTCAGCTCCCCTTATCTCTCTCTCTCTCTCTCTCTCTTAACCACATCAATTCTCGAAGCAAACCCTTCCCCAGCTCAAAAAGAGAAAGCAGAAAACCTAGACACACATCCCCTCCTCCAAATATAGCCCACTGATGAGAAAGACCCACCACAGAGAGATTAAACCATAAACTCACTGATCACAATCTGTCCCATAAAAACAACAACCACACAAACTAAAACAACTTTAACCCTTCCATGAGATCATGGAGGGAGGTGATGATTTCCACCACCACCATCACCACCGACAAAACTTCCCATTCCAACTCCTTGAAAAGAAAGAAGACCAAGAAGCCCCTTCTTCATGCTCCACCTCATCCCCATACCCATCCCTAGCCATCTCAGCCGAACCCTCCTCAACTTCAAACTCAACCCGATCCACCAACAACCAGCTCCTACCTGCACCCTCGGAACCCTCTCCCAAAAAACCGCCCCCAAAAAGAACTTCAACAAAAGACCGTCACACCAAAGTTGACGGCCGTGGCCGTCGAATTCGAATGCCAGCTCTCTGCGCCGCTAGAGTATTCCAGCTCACTCGTGAGCTGGGACACAAGTCTGACGGCGAGACCATAGAGTGGCTCCTCCAGCAGGCGGAGCCAGCCGTCATCGCCGCCACCGGCACCGGCACCATTCCCGCCAACTTCACATCCCTTAACATATCTTTACGAAGCTCCGGGTCCTCCATGTCTGTCCCCTCTCAGCTACGATCCACCTACTTCAACCCAAACTTTTCACTCCAACCTCGGAGAAGCTTGTTCTTAACCTCGGAGAACACTAACAATTCCACTACACTCCTCAATTTCCAATCCAACAACCCAATCTCCACCGGCATGTTTCAAGCCAAGCATGAATTGCGCGAAACGACGTCGTTGGACTTGTCGTCTGAGAACACTGAAGAAGGTTTGGGAAGGAAACGACGACCCGCGGAACAAGACTTATCCACGACTACACAACATCAAGTTGGAAGCTATTTCATGCAATCAAGCACTTCAGGGACAATTCCAGCGAGTCACGCTCAAATTCCCGCGAATATATGGATGGTAGCGAATTCAAATAGCCAAGGTTTGAGTGGTGAACCTCCTTTGTGGACATTCCCAGGGGTTAGTAACAGCGCTTTGTATAGAGGAACCGTGTCAAGTGGGTTGCATTTCATGAATTTTCCTACCCCTATGGCTTTGTTGCCCAGTCAACAATTAGGATCTTCTGGGATTGGTGGGGGAGGCAATATGAACGAAGGGCATTTGAGTATGCTTTCTGGGCTTAACCCTTATAGGACGGTGATCGGCGTTTCGGAGTCTCAGGCAAGTGGGTCACAGTCACATCATGGTGGAAGCGAGGATCGGCATGACAACACAAGTCACCATTCATAAGAGGATATTCAATATCTTATTTTTCTTCTTCAATTCCTACTTGTGTAGTAGTTTGGTGTTTTAACACAACGTGACGTGAGGTTTGATTATTGCCCTGCGAAATTGAGTTTTGTTTATTTTGAAAAATTATTAAATTTTTCTTTTTCTTGGTGTGGTTAATATTTTGGAAGAGGTGGAGATGGAAGAGAGGATGCTTTTTTAGGGTTTGAGAGAGAGATATGACACTATTTAACAGTTGGATATTATTAGGCTGGTCCTTTTTTTTGTAACAAAAAAAAGAAGAAGTCTCCTTTGATTTATTTCACTACACGATATCTTATCATCATTGTTTGTGCAATTCGCTTTTCCTTTCTTCTCTTCTTTTTTTCCTGAAAGCCTTTTGATTTGTAATTTTATGCTTTTCATGTTGAGAAGGGAAAGAAAACGACTCACTTCCATCATAAGTTATAAATATCATTTGGTAAGTAAAATCTCCCTCTTAACAGGCATTTGGGTTTTTCACATTTTACATTATTTTTCTGATTCCGGGTCACAAAGTTCATGTAGTAAAAGGGATGAAACAGTTTACCAAAGAAGAAAAAAGGGGGAATGAAACAGTGTTACTGGGAGAGTGAGGCTAATGTAAATGTATTGTGTTATGTGAGTGGTAATTGTACACTGCTTTTGGACCAATCTTCGCCATGAATCTCGAGGTTTACAGCGTGGATGATTAAGATTTTTCAGAGATGGCGGTAAGAGGGTGGTGGGGTCTCAAAGACCTTATCGGTTCCAGGTGTTGGCTTCGGTGGTGGGATCCAGCTGCTGGTTATTGCCCAAACCAATGTACAATGTCACTGACAAACAGGTGGATCATTCCTCTTTTTTTCCTAATTAATTTTTAATTTCTTTTAAGTGTTTCTTGCCCTTTTTATGGAGCAGTTACTGGCATCAGAGTCCTTTAATGACCCTACTGAGATGTGGCCCACATTTTCTTCAATCAGGACCGTTCATATCGCGGGCCATCCTCTTGATGGCCGCATTGAATGATTGGGTCTGTGCTCACCAAAGGGAAAATGTGGAATCTGGTGTTCTATCGTCATAACCTTCTGTTTTTTTTTTTTTTTCCTTTTATTTCTAAGATCATAACTTTCTTTGTTATTTACTGTGGATTGAAATTATCTGTTTCTATTTTCTGAGCTTTACTTTTGTCTCATTTCTATTTTTAATAAAAGATATGTTCATAAAAATAATATCTTCTCTCTAAATTATTAATTTTTTAGAAGTACTTTTTTGTATTTGGGGAAACAGAATAAATATAGGCAACTTGATTACATTTAATATTTCAGTTCAAAACACGTTTCAAATGTTTCTTCTCATAGTTTAGGGTTTGATCATAGTTTAGAAAATCAGGTTGGATGACTTATAATACTAGTTGTCTTAGGAACTGGTGAAGTCATTGGTATGAACAATATAAGAAAATGATTGAGCAAAAAATCAGTTAAATTGATTAAAAACTGGTCAAAATATGTCAGTGTTATGTGTAAACCAGTCGAAATTGGTATATTAAAAAATATTTTCTTACCTTTTAAATTTTTTTTAAAATAAACAAAAACTCATATCCGTTATGTATATATGAATTGTTAATATTTATTTATTTATCACAATTTTTTAATCTTATAAGACATATAACATGATTTTTTCAGTTAACTTAAATTTTAAGAGTTTTATATTAATTTATTTTTCATTTATTATATAGTATTAAAATATATACTCAATTATTATCGATTCAACTCTAATTTAATTATAGTTAAACTATTGAATCATAAACTAATGTTTTGATCAATTTAATCACTGGTTAAACTTTAAAAAAATTGCTTGCTATATAGTGGGTTTAGAGTTTCATTGCGAAGCTCAATCTATAATTTAAACAAAAGTTAGAAAGATCCGTTTTTATTCAAACCACAGTTTAAGACCTTTCCCGTAAAATTCAAATAATGTTATTTGTTGCTTAAAACCCATTTTGTATTAAAGGAGTCTATATCCCTCATCTTTTGCTTCGGCAAAGAATGAGGGAGGCCCATCTGAAATCTAATAATGTGAGGTTTAATAATAATTATCATGTTTTGGAATCTAATAATATCTCGTCCTCACTAAAATAATAGGCAACATGAGTGGTTGATGTAATTGAAAATTAGTAGGAAAGAGGAAAACCGGAAAAGTAGGTTCAGGATATTCCCTCCACTTCAAATTTTGTTCTGCACAATACAAAGTTCAAAATGTCAATAACGCAAATGTAAAGAAATCAGGAAAATAATGTATATGCTTGTTGATCATAATAAAAATCCATATATATCTGATTAATACATAATTTGTGTTACTTGATGATGAGAATGGGGGATGGAATAAGGTACATTATTGAGGTTCCAATTATGGGACTTGAACAGTAAGCTGATAATGACACTGCTTAAGATGGATCCCACCAAGCCCTAGCTAGAGCTGTAAAAGGCGAATCAGGAACCACAATTGAAGTACCTAGCGTTTCTCGTATTGCCACTTAGCAATAGAGAGTTCATATCAGATACATTGCGAATTATTGTATCTTGACCATTAGGAACAGGGATCTGCCAAAGAAGCACAAAAGAATATTGTGTTGTGCTATTTTTATATAATATATAATTATTTATATAGATGACATGATAAAATTTGCAGTTACATTTTCAGATGTGGGTGCAACGTACTGCACGCTGCAGCTGAAGATCATTGATGTGTTGTACCAAGAAACAAACTGAAGATATAGTTGTTTCTTTCAAATAATAATACGTCATGCACTTACAGGTTGAACATTCTGTTACATTGCTAAGTTCCGTCATACAAAGTTAGATGGGTCCTTTCTTTGAATTTTGCAGTACTGAAGTGCAACAATATATATATATATATATATATATATATATATATATATATATATATATATATATTTTATATCGATAACATTCATTATTCAGGCAAATTTATATTTGAATTATAAAAAAATACTACAGATACTTTAAAACCGATATTTCATTTTTAATTTTTATTATTTTTGAACTAATTAGACCTTTTATGGAAGAGATAAAACTCAGACCATATATGTGTAATTTTTAACTAAAATAATTATTTTTAAAATTAAATTGTTTTAAAAGAATTTATAGTAATTATATAAATATTTTTAAGAGACTAAGAAAATCTCTTAAAACATGTTTCACAAAATTAATATTTTAAAAAAATTAAATTAGCAGACTTTAATAACCTAAAAGGAGTAGCATATAGGTTTTTTTTTTTTTTAATTTGAATGATTTTCATTTGACAATATATTGTCCATCTTAAAGTGCCTGAAACAATGAATATGAATGACTTACATAGATACGATTAATCATTGTTACTCGCAAAAAAACAAAAGATTTGATTATTTTTAATATAGTAAATTACATGTTTTTCTTAGTAAATTATATTTTTATCACTTTAGATTTATTTAAATTTTATTATCTTTGTTTCTTATTTTTAAAATTATAATTCTTATATTACAATTTAATTTATTTTAATGTAGACAAGTTTTTTAGGGTTAATTGTTCTCGTTTTGTGAGTCACAATATTATAGGAAATTAGTCTCTAAATTTGAGTGAAATCAATATATCATTAATTTTGGACCTTAAAGATGAAATGAAATTGAGTAAACTACTGAAGTTTACATACGTGTATTCAAAATATCATTTTGTATAGTAGAATAATAAAATTGATAATATGCATGATGTATCAAATTAATTTCTCGAGACCTAAGAAGTTGAATAGAAAAAACTTTCATAAGGACTTTGTTAAAGTTGCCTAATGCTTGCCATCACTATAACAAACTTCACGTTAAGATAGATTGAAATGTAATGCATACTAACCGTCTAAGAGATAATAGTACATTTTTTAAAATACAAAAAAAAAAAATAGTATAATTTAAGAACCCTAAAAGAAAGAAAAGTATAATTTACTCATTTTAATGTGTATATATTTTACCATTTTTTTTATAATTAATCAGTGCTTAAATTTTATTCTAAACAATTAGAAGTAAAACATTAATTTAAAATATTTATTATATTTTTTATTTTTTTAATATAATGAATTTATTTATTTAATCATTTTTCACTTTTAATTGTTTCAAAATAATATTAAAAAATTATATATTTTAAAACTAATTCATATTGGTGATAAAATCTAAAGACAAAACAAAAAAATTTTCTAATATCGACATTTAATTAATTTATGAAATAAAAAGTGTACCGTGTGTGAATAAAATTATTAAAATAAAAATTCATGAAAAACATAAATATAATTTTTGTGTAGGAGCGTAAAATTAGTTAGTATGAGTAGTAACCAGTCTTTTACCTTTGTAGGGCTCCTATACATCAATACTTGTAATTACTTTTTCACGTTACTTTTGAATAATGTATAGTGATAGGTTTATAAATTAAATACACACATGTGCTTGTATATTGATATTTTTAATCGACTATTTTTCTCAAAATAATTTATCAATATTTTTTGTAATGCATTGTTAATTTCAAAAATGAATATATATGAACATAATATATTTTTTATTTTCTAGGAAATTAATTTTAAAATCTATTTTCTTATTTCGATATTGAGTATCGTTTTATCGATTACGTTTGAAATTATATATTTTATTATACAGAATCAAACTGGAAAGAGGTTATGTTGCGACGTTTTTTTTTTTTTTTTTTTGTCTTTTTATAAATATGAGTGTTATACTGAGTATGGAAAGTTTTAGTTATCTACAGGGTGTTACGCCAATGCTGAAACTAATAAATACAATAGTTGGCTTTGAGAAGATAATGAAGCTTTCAATTTGTTTAAAGCAGGCCAAATAGACTGACAATACATATCACAATAAATGTCTTAGGTGAGTTTTAAAGTTTGGTAAAATAACACCAGATAGAGTCACGTCGGCACATAATATTTTATGAAATTAAATTATTCAGAGAAATTTTTCAAGAAACTGTGTCGACCCCTAACACCATAATATTGACTTCTATTTATTTAGTAAAAGATTTACATAAGTGATATGAAAAGGGCTTTAATTTTAAAAACCCGATAACGCCACATATACAGAAGACTACCTTGAACACAGTGTAGACTGTAGAAAGTTTACAAGGATTGTTGAAAAAAAAATGGTGGATGTTGTGGTGTTATTGGGGTCCCTCTGCAGGATCAGAAGATGTCACTACCTCCCTGTCGGTTAAATTCAAGCTTGGCATCTTTCGCCAATGATTTGTCTGATTAGCAAGTGTTTTATTGACCATTTATTATGATTAAAACAATTAGTATATGCATAAGATATAGCATTATAGCATCACTTGTGAAATCAGGGTCGTACCCCATTGTTCACATGGACCAGAATCTGACATAGCCACAGGTATGCGGTCCCCCTAAGAAAATCTTGCATCCAAAATTTTGTACCTCAGAAAATAGACCATGATCAAGACCTTCAATCTCTCTAAAAGGGTCAACAAATCGGCTTGATTTTTGGGCACAAAAAAGGGGCTTCAAATTTACCATCTAAGAGGTAACACGTTCTATTAATTTGGCCCATAATACCCCCTAATTCCTTGTTTGGGCCCAGGAAATCTCTTAATCCTGCCATAGTTTCTCATTATGAAATATGATTGATATCGACGCACCAGCATGTGCCTCCATACTGGCGTCTAGCCAACATGTTGGGTGTTACTAGTTACGACATATGAAAATTAGAGTGCCAGACCCACCACATCCACTCAAATGTTGTGTCATGTGTGAACAGTATTTCCCTGTTATGCTTGCACTTTCTATGGACGTGGGAGCGAGAGATAAATCTATGACCTACTCCTATTGCATGGTTCATGTGCACTTGAAAAAAAAATGTGATTAATTAACTTGAAAAAATTTAAGGCACAGGTTCAATATTGCTTTTTTACATTCAAAGTAAGATACTTTTTGGAGTCTTCTTTAATTTTAGAGCGTATTATTTGTATGCATATATACGTAAAAGATAACAAGAGGTTTTTAGATGTTGAGATAAAATAGCTTAATTAAATTTACTTCACTAAAAAGCTGTGAATTGCATAAACTGTTTTCTCCGCACCTCAAACATATCAGATTGGGCAGGTGATG